CGACACAAAAGGGTTGTTTTTGGAATCAATTGTAGTCCATTTCTTCTGGGTGCCACTATAGAGTTTCATTTAACAAAGGCCCTGGAGAAATGTTGTAATGATAATCCATATTCTAAAAACACAATTAAAAAGCTTATGACTGGGTTTTATGTGGATAATTGTGTGACCAGTGTTACTGATGAAAATGAGTTGAGAGTGTTTGTATCAGAAGCAACCGCCCTTATGGAGGAAGCTAAGATGGACTTAAGAGGGTGGGAGGCCTCTGGTAATACAAAAACAGTTGTTCCGGTTCTTGGTCTTCTCTGGGACTCTTCAAGAGACACTCTGAAAATCAATAGTGAAACTTTTCAAGAAATGGCATTGAAACGTCCCATAACTAAGAGACTGATGCTTTCCATAGCTCAGAGTATATTTGACCCTATTGGTTTTACCTGTCCCGTATCCCTATTTCCCAAACTGTTGCTACAGAAACTTTGGGAGAAGCGCCAGGGATGGGATGCTCCAGTCGAGAATGATATGGCTGAAGAATTTTGTGATTGGGTTACTCATCTTCCTGAACTGTCGAGTATTGAGATTCCACGCTGGATTGAGGCTGGACCGACGGAAGCTGATCATTGGAGCTTGCACATATTTTCAGATGCAAGTAAGAAAGCTTATGCGGCTGTAATATTTTTGAGAGTGGTTCGGAATGATGTTGTCTCAATTTGCCTTGTAGCAGCTAAGAGTCGTGTGGCCCCTTTGAAGAAGATTTCTATACCTAGATTGGAACTGTTGGCAGCCACTATTGGTGTTAGACTTTATCAGTCAGTAAAAAGGCAATTTTCTCAATATGTTGAGTCTTATTTTTGGAGTGATTCCACTACTGTTCTTTCTTGGATTCAACGTAAGGATGACTGGTCTGTTTTTGTTTTTAATAGAGTTCAAGAGATTAGAAATTTAGTCAATCCTGAGTGTTGGAAATATGTACCTGGTTCTCTCAATCCTGCCGATCTCCCATCAAGAGGCTGTGGTGTTCGGCAATTGTTCGACTCTCGATGGTGGGAGGGCCCGGAATGGTTGTACAGAAAAGAAAATGATTGGCCCCAACAAAAATTAGAAGTTGATGAAGAAAAAGTCTGTACAGAGAAAAAGAAAAATGCCAGTTCGTCACTATTGAATATGACATCTGACGATTGGCATCTGTATTACTTTTCTCAGTACATAAAACTTTTAAGAATGATAGCTTGGGTGCTACGATTTTGTTATAATGCAAGAAATTCACACAAAAAACGTACAGGTGAATTGGTCGCTGAGGAAATCGATCAAGCCGAAATATTTGTATTGAAGCTAGTGCAGAACGAAGCGTTCGATTCAGATACGAAACGAATTTCCTCGCTAAACATGTTTGTCGATGAATTTGGACTTATACGTATAAAAACTCGCGTTACTGAGAGACTTGACACGGAAGATTTTCGTCTGCCTATCTTACTTCCGGGTGAACATTTTATAGTGCGTAAGTTAATTTTAAGCCTGCATAAAAGCTCTTGTCATGTAGGCACACAAGGACTACTTAGTTTGCTTCGCGAAAAATATTGGACTTTAGGGGGTAGACGGATTGTGCGGTCCATTTTAAAAGAATGTGGTGTGTGCAAGAGACAAGAAGGGAAATCGTTCAAAGTACAAACGCCTCCGTTGCCGGCTGATAGAGTTCGGGATACTACAGCTTTTGAAATTTCCGGAGTGGACTTAGCGGGACCTCTTTACTTGAAATCGGGAGAGAAAGCATGGATTTGTTTGTTCACTTGTGCCGTTTATCGTGCGGTTCATCTGGAACTCGTTACCTCGTTGTCAACAAATGCTTTTATTCAAGCCTTTCGTCGCTTTGTTGCAAGGCGAGGACGACCGAGAATAGTTTATAGTGACAATGGAACAAATTTTACGGGATTCGAGAATGCGCTTAAGCAATTGGACTGGAATACTATCGCGGAATATAGTTCTACACAACGTATTAAGTGGCGTTTCAACCCCCCTACAGCTGCATGGTGGGGTGGATTTTGGGAACGATTAGTAGGTATTGTTAAAGGGCTTTTGCGAAAAGTTTTAGGTCGAGCGTCTCTCAATTATGAAGACTTATTGACATTATTGTGTGATTGTGAGAGTATAGTCAACTCGCGTCCGTTGACGTATCTTTCGGACGATTCTACTGAGTTAATCGCGTTAACCCCAAGTATGTTTTTAAAGGAACAAGTCAGTTACGAGTTGCCGGAATGTGATTTGCTAGAGCAGAATTCTCTCACACGCAAAATACGACGTTTACAAGAGTTGAGAAATCATTTGCGAAAAAGATTTCGTGCTGAATATCTGGCTCAACTCAAAGCAGGAACGAAGAAGCCGAAGGTATCTAAAGTGTCTATCGGGGATGTCGTTTTAGTCGGCAATGACAACATCAAGCGTCTTCAGTGGCCTTTAGGTAAAGTTATTGAACTTATACCTGGTAGGGATGGCCAGGTAAGATTAGTTCGTCTTGCGACTGCACAAGGGCAACTTCTGAGACCATTACAAAGGCTTTACCCGGTGGAGATCGTCGATGCAGTTACTACTGGCGAGAATGTCCAAGGTAATACTCTACCTTGTGGAAGTCAGACGGTTCCAGAGAGGTTACCCCAAGAGAACGTTGGTCAACTCCAGTTTGAGGAAGAACCAAGTGAAAAAAGTGCGGGAGTGATAAAAAGCAGAGTACCCGACTTAAATGGAAGATATACGCGTTGTGGCCGGATGGTGAAAACTCCTTTAAGATTTAAGTAATATTTTCATGATTTTATTTTTTGTAACTCTCTTATTTTTTGAGAAATTATGTTAAATTTCTCAAGGTGGGAGTATGTCGAGTTAATACTTAAGTAATATGTTTATTTTAAAAATCCCCTTTTGTAATCATGTCGAGTTAATACTTAAGTAATATGTTTATTTTAAAAATCCCCTTTTGTAATCAGCGTATCGTCTCTCCGGCTAAGGGCTTGTGAAAGCAATTAATTTTAATGACTTTCGTCTGAGAATGTAGACTATTGAATTTCATATAGTATAAGAATATATTCAATTTGTTTAGAGTTAGTTTTTAGTCGAATTTATACCACCGAACCGAAGGAAACTGAATAAAACTTTTAAAGTCACATTTGTGTATTTTAATACGAAAGTAATTTTTGTAATAGAAATTTAATTTTGTATTCTTTCGAACCAGGAGTCTCTTGCGATAATTAATCGTAGGACATTCCAAACGTAACACTATGACTATAAGATAAGATATTGCGCATGTTTTTGTGACGTCATTGGAGACTTGCACGTTCGAAATGTCAGTTTTTGTATATATCAATAAATAATTTTTAACAAATAGTTTGGAGATATCCTTATGTGTACGATTATTGTAATTATTAAACCTCTTAACTTATTTTCGTCTAGTAATTATATCACAGAATGCATACAAATCTCATTTAACTTTAACAAGAATTCAAATTCTAGTCTCCAATGACGACATGCGCGAACCCGACCGATTTTGAGCTACGGGAAGATACTATCTTGTTATTCATAGTATCATGGTCATAGTCATACCGCTAACCATGATAATATGACTTCCAAGATAAAACCACTTCGCAATGGAAATTTGTATGTCGATGCGCATGACGTCACTTGGTGATAAAAGTTTATCTTTAATTTAATATTCTGAAATATATTTTATCTGAAAGTGCACATATTTATTTGTCAACCTACTAGATAAACGATAAAACAATCCTAAATCTGACAAAACTCCATGCAAAACAGAAAATTTCTGGTGATATTTGTGGCCAAGTGACGTCACACGTGCAAAAGACAGACTGAGCGCGAGTTTATCTTTAGAAGTTCATATATATGACCGTTCATAGTATCATGACCGCTAACTTATTTTTTTTTTGGTTGTGCCAACAAACGAAATTCAATTTACCAAATATTGGCAAATGTCTCACTGTTCCCTCTGTCTCACTGTACCCTCTTTTCCCTTAAGGTCGATTCAGACACATCAGTCACGTCACAGTCACGGTACCGAACCGGTCCTGTTTGGTCACAGAACTATCAACTATCTGACAGCTGGCAAACTGTTCGTCAACTGATGAGTGTGAATGCCGGCAACATACTTATTTGTATTAAGGTCGATTCAGACACATCAGTCACGTCACAGTCACGATACCGAACCGGTCCTGTTTGGTCACAGAACTATCAACTATCTGACAGCTGGCAAACTGTTCGTCAACTGATGAGTGTGAATGCCGGCGCCATATTTGTATTAAAGAATATTTTGTATGACGGATTGTTCAATTCGGCGCAATCACTGTGACGAGATGGTGACGAGACGTGACTGATGTGTCTGAATCGACCTTTAAAGAATATTTTGTATGACGGATTGTTCGGTTCGGCGCAATCACTGTGACGAGACGTGACTGATGTGTCTGAATCGACCTTTACACGTAAGCACAAGCAACTGAACCGGTGACTGTATCACAGTATATTGCTTGAAAAGATTCTTTTTAAGCAATATACTGTGACTGTACTACAGATATTTGCGCAAAATCTAGGCAAGATGCAAACACCTCACTGGCATTGAAGCACCTTGATGTAACGTGGTCAAAAGAATATCGCAATAATAATATTAAGATTTCCAATTTTTTTCTCGTTGTTGTGGACTTCCTGCAAGTCGAAATAGATCCCTGGGGGTCTATGTAAACCACTTTGCAAATCCCTATGCTTTAGAAGAATAATAATACTACATAATATATAAAATATCATTTTATTTATAAAAAATATAGGTAATAATTTACATGACTTTTTGAATAAATAATAGTTTTTTGTTTCCGGCAGTATCCGAATAATGGAAAAATGCCCGAAAATGATTCAGAACTGAATAAAATGCACAATATATTTTGAAATAAAGCTTTTTTGAAAACCCAAAACAATATATTAAGGAAAAGCTATTCGAACAAACGAAAACGGTGCATAAAAAAGATAAACATCTGGCAATTGGAAAATCCAACAATATTAAGGCAGAACTATACAAACACAAGAAAATTTTTGTCAAATATGTCATTAATGAAGAGTAAATAAAGCTCAACTCAGTTTATTTAAAAATTTGAACTTTGATAAATAAAATATAGGACTAAAATAGCAATAAAACTTTAGGACTAAGAATCATACATTGTGGTTATAAAATAGTTATTTCGTTGTTAGTTTATTTTCAGTTCGTCGTTTGGTTTTTAGGGAAAATCGTCTCTACATTCCACCCGCAGTTTGAACCCCAATATTATGGACAATACAGTTACGAGTACTTGTTGTTATACCATAAATGGACGTCAATTCTTTTTGTATGTGTTTTAGGATATTATTGTTTACTGCTTGTTGGTCTTGATATTTAATATTTTGAATTTTCTTCTTTTTTACTCCGGGTTTGTGGATCAGAAATGCGTTGTCGAATACTTGGAAATCGTAATCTAACATACACAAATAGAAAGCCTGAAAAAAAAATAATATAGTCAATTTGAGTTTATTAGATGTTACAACTTGCTGGTAGAGCCACAAAAATAAGACACCTTTTGATTACTTTCGTCTTTTGGCGGATGAAACTTTTTTGAGCTGATAGTGACAGAAACGAATCTGTATGATGAACAATTATTTCTATCGAGTGTTACAGAAAGATCTAGAGTAACAAATTGGAAACCGCTCATTACCGAAGAATTACATAAATTTTTTGGGGTACTCTTACACATAGGGACATGGAAAACCAATAGAACGCAAGATTATTGTAAAACTGATAGTCTTTTTATTGAAAAGTGTTTCCCAGAAAATATGAGTAGAGACCGTTTTTTGTTAATTCTTCGGTGTCTGCATTTTGCCAAAAATCCAGAGGTAGGAGAAGTTATAGAGGACAAGCTGTACAGAATTCGTCCATTGTTAAATTATTTTAATCAAAAAATGAATGACATACATTAGCCCGACAGAAATATCTCCCTTGATGAATCAGTAGTTGTATGGCGTGGCCGTCTCTGTTTTAGAATTTATATTAAAAATAAACGCCGTAAATTTGGTATAAAATGTATGTACTTCTGAACCTAACGGATTTGTTCAAAATATGAAAATTTATTCTGGTAAATTTGATACTACCGCCGGAACAGACCATTCAAAAAAAGTTGTCATGGAATTGATGCATAAACATCTAAATGCAGGTCACTTGTTGTTTATGGACAATTTTTACATGAGTATGGACCTTGTCGAAACACTTATGAAGAACAAAACATATTGTACAGGAACTCTTCTGGGAAGAAGACAAGGAAATCCAGTAGAAGTGTCTAAAGCCAAGGTCGATAAACGGGAAGTAATGTATATATCCACTGAGTTCAGCAATGTTATGGTAGAATGTGAGAACAAATGAAAACAAAAAAAAAAACTAAAACCTCTTCCAATCGCCGAATATAATAAAAATATGAGTGGTGTTGATCACAAAGATCAAATGTTATTATACTACCTATCCTTTTGAAAGAAAATGCTGGTACAAAAAATTGGGTATACATACAAGTGATTTTAGTAAACTCTTATTTTTTTAATATTCTGGAACAAAACTGTCTCTTTATGACTTTCGACTAGAAATTATAAGAAATTTACTAAGCTCTCCTCGGAAAAATGTTCCTAAAACATTGAATAACTTGTCTGAACGGCATATTTTGAGCAAAATAGCTGAGAAAAATACAAAATGGGAATCGAAACGTAAAAAGTGCAGGGTGCGTAGAGTGAATAAAAAAAAGATACGATTTATGAATGTCATATTTGTACTGACAAACCTGGTCTTTGCCTAGGCGCATGCTTGCCTAGGCTTGCGTGCCAAGAAATAGCAAACACAATAGTCATTAATATTGAGGTACTTACTTGACACATTTTATTGCCTTGACCTTCCCAATTCAATCTCTCATCCCATAAAGGTTCCTTCTGGGTACAAACGAAAAACGGCTCCCAAATCTTCTGAAAACCCTGCCTTTTGGTCGAAGTAAATATATCAACGCCTTCAGTTTCGTTACTTTCAATCCACAATTTCATCTTTGGTGGATTGTGGCATCTGGCACAGACTTTGGCGTGAAAACCAAAAGCTGTTTTATTTTTTAACATTATTTGAAGCTGCGTCTTTGTTTCTGGAACCTGGAATACATAGTATGTATCCAAATATATATAACTTTTTAGTGTGAAAAATGAAACAAGAAATTAATGCAAACCTAGAATCCAAACCGGAATCAATTGATGGTGATGTAAAACAACAGTGGCAATTCTTTAAAAATGCAATTATCGAATCAAGTCGCAGAGAACTCACAACAACCAGATGCAAGAAAGGAAATTGGATGACAGAAAAAATCTTGAAAATAATGGAGGACAGAAGAAGGCAAAGAATATCAATATAACTCAGTACCAACAGCTGCATAATAAAATAAGAAGGAAAATAAGAGAAGATAAAGAGGCTTATTTCGCTGGAAAATACCCATAAATAGAAGACTTACAAAACAAATATGATAACTTCAATCTCCATAAGAAAGTTAAAGAACTAGCTGGATTAGCAAAACAAAAACCCCAAGTATACTATTGGACAAACAAGGAAACATTTTAGTGGGGACGGAACAAAAATTAGGAATATGGAAAGAATATATTAGAGGAACTGTTTCATTACCAAAGAGAGCAAAATATATATGAATATGAAAACTGATCAATGAAAAAAACATAGATCTCTTAGTCCAACTACTGAACAAAATCTATTCCACAGGAATCTTTCCACGTGAAATGCTGGGTAAAAGGACTGTGAGAGTACGAGCGCAAAATCGGTCATTTTCCCATGTAAACCTCCATAAGAAATTCTAAGGTCGATTCTGCTCATTTTTGGCTCATTTTGTGGTGTGGGTAAAACGACTCATCGGATCGTGATGTGTGAGGTATCGTCGGAAAGGGGAGGTGATAATGAATATGTTAAGATAAAAATCAAACGAAAAGACTGTGACAAAACAGCATTACGTCATATCTCCATTGTTATTGGTCAGATCGTAACATACGAGGGCTCGTTGGAACGGGGAGAGGGTAGCGAATACGTCACGATCCGATGAGTCGTTTTACCCACACCACAAAATGAGCCAAAAATGAGCAGAATCGACCTTAGAATTTCTTATGGAGATTTACATGGGAAAATGACCGATTTTGCGCTCGTACTCTCACAGCCCTTTTACTATGCTGACATTTATTTGTCTGCCAAAGAAAGTAAACACCAAAGAATCTAGTGATTATCGAACGATCAGTCTAATGTCACATACCTTAAAAACCCTGCTAAAAATTATCCTCAGAATAAGGCTAATTAAATGCTATGTACACAGTGTACTCTACTATGGAGTTGAATCATGGACATTAAACTGGAGTACAATAAATCGACTTAACGCGTTTGAAATGTGGAAATTTAAAAGATTGTTAAGGATTCCATGGGTAGATAGAGTCATGAATACAGAAGTGTTAAGGAGAATAGGCAGAGAGAAGGAAATGGAAAATACAATAAAAGAAAGGAAATTGTAATATCTCGGACATGTGATGAGAGGCGACAGATACAACATCCTGAGACTCATAATTCAAGATAAAATAGAGAGTAGGAGAAGCGTAGGAAGAAGACGCGTTTACTGGTTGAAGAACCTGAGAGAGTGGTTTGATTGCAGCTCAAGATAATTGTTCAGAGCAGCTGCCTCGACGGTCAGAATAGCCATGATGATTGCCAATCTTCGTCGCAGAGATGGTACTTAAACAAGAAGTGTGAAAGATAATAATACTTTAGACAATCATTATAATTATAACATGCCACTTACCTTACGGTCAGCTAGTATCTCAAAAACAGGAAATACGAATACATTCGTCGAATCTTTGGCAAAATACTGCGGGCTTCTAGACATTAATTCAAAAAATTTCGGAATAAAGTTCCTTGTAGGATAAAGCTCTATATCCGACGGGAACACAAAATGAGTCTGCACGTTTAGCTTTGCTACATTTCTAGCAACGTTGATAGGATAGAAAAGGTTGTTTTTCTGCTTATACATGTCCTCATCTTTCTTTGTTTCATATGGTGGGCGTTGGGAACAATCAAAAACGTCCTTGTAGGACTCAAGCAAAGGCAATCCGTTCTAAAATAAAAAATACACAGTATGCAATTAGCTGGGTAATTATATAACTTTTTCAAAACTATTACAGCTTGGCTGTTTAATTTTTTTTTGGTAAAATATTGTAATAGGTATAATTCAGGCAATTTTTATCTGAAATGCGCAATCTACAGCGAGTTGTTCGTAAATAGTGAGAGTTTAACTTATTGTGAACGTGAACATCAGACTTCTTTATTAAATGTGCCCATTTTCTGTGAATCTCAGTCAGAACTTAAAATATCAACAGAGTAAGTAGCGGCATAATTTTGAATTTGATAAAGAAAGGTCGGCAATGTTCTAGATAACTAACCTCTGCTAAAATCCTGATAGCTTTCTTTTGCATTCTGAAAATTTGAAGTACATTTGTTGAATTGCCCCATATGAATAATCCATAGCGTAGGTGTGAGTGAAATAAAGAAAAATATGTAATTTTTAATGTTTCAAAGTTGTTAATCCTTGCTAGTTGGCGAATAACCAATAATGAACTTAATAACTTTTTCTTTAGTTGTGAGATATGAGCAGGCCAGTTCAGTCGTTTATCTACGGTTATTCCCAGTAATTTAACAGTCTCCTTGTTATCTGCATTATTATATAAGTTACTTGCAAATATAACCAAGTTTTGTTTTGTTTCGTTTGTTTGCAGAAAGCTATGTGGTAGATTTAGTAGAAACTTCGTAAGAGATTTTTAAATCATCATTATTTTTTCCTGATATAACGTATGTTGCATCATCTGCGAATTGTACAGACATAATAATTTAGGCAAATCGTTGACATAAATAATAAACTAAACTAAAATAAAAAAGTGGTCCTAAGACCGAACCTTGTAGGACTCTATGCTTTACGCAGAGAAAATCGGAGAGATGACCTTTAGACTCTACAACCTGGTATCTGCCACATGAGTAAGAACTTATAAGCTTAAGAGGGATACCTCTGATTCTATAACAATTTAATTTGTGTAGCAAAATTTCAAGTGAAACACAATTAAAAATCTTCAACAAGACGCAAAGACAAATTGCTATGTGATTGACGCATTCAAGCGGTTCAATAATCTCGCTCAGATTATATACGAGTATATATTCGTAATAGAACGAGCACTTCTGAATCCATATTGTGAGTTGCTAAAATAATTATTGGACTCAAAATAGGAATAAAATTGTTGTTTGATAACCTTTTTAATCACTATTCAAATAGTACAAACAATGCTTATGGGTCTGTAATTGTAAGTTTTTGAGGAATCGCTCTTTTAGGCGATAGGTAGTACTCTTGAGTATTTTAGTACTTCCGGAAATACTCCAGTTAATGGAATAAAATTAATAAAATGAGTAAAAACTATTTGGTAAGTTTTTTAAATCTTGTTATTAACTTCGTGAACGTCCCTACAATTGGAATTATTAAGAGACTTAATTATTTGAGAGATCTCTTCTTTCACAACTGGGCGTAAAAAAAATAGGATTTGCTCGGAGAAGGATAATGTCTGTAACTGAAGGGGACATCGATATTAATATTGGAAAGGTAGCACAAGACATAGACAATAGGTGGGAACGACTCACAGAAACGATTCAACAAGCAGCCGAGCTAACACTACCAAAACCATCTCAAAGAAGATAAAAAGATTGGTATGATAATGATTGCAAGAGAGCGATTGAGCAGTGGAATAAAGACAGAATCAATAGCATAAGGAAGAATAATTTGAACAATAGAGAACTATATGCTGAAAAGAGAAGGGAGGCAAAGAAAATATTCAGAACAAAGAAAAGGTTATGCATGGAAGAAAAATTAAATTATATTGAAGAAGATTTTATAAATAACAAACTCAGGAACTTCAAGCAAGAAATAAAAAGAGAACTAAATCAATATAAAATCACACCGAGATATTAAAAAGATGAGGACGGACATTTAGTAGGAGGAATAGATGAAAAACTGGGCAGATGAGCCAGATATTTTAAAAGTGCATTAAACATCTTTGAAGAAAAATACAATAAAAGAAAAATAATAAGGCACCCAGTGAAAATAGCTCATAGCAGAGTTCCTAAAGGAAGGTGACCAAAGCCTATAAGAAGAAATCACAGAGTTGATACGTAAAGTATGGACCAAATACCAAAATAGAGGAGAGCAGCAATGCTATGCCCAATATTAAAAAAAAGGAACTGTTACGAAATATAAAAACTATAGGAATATAGCACTACAAGACACAACTATAAAGTTCTAGCTATATCGATCAGAAATAGAATTAATGTCAATATTGAAGAAAACCTGGGTGAATACCAAGCTAGTTTTAGAGTAAACAGATCAGTAATAGACCAATTTTTTACAATTAAACAGATCCTTACTAATTACTATTAAACTGGGAATAAGCCACAATTAAAGATAAAAATACGTTTATTGACGTTTCAATTTCCACTTCGGAAATCGTTCTCAAAATACAAACAGTAAATTAAACAAATTTTGTTTTTTGTTACATAGTGAAAAATTCTTCTAATAATTTAATTTTATCTGACTCATTTATATTGACAATTCAGACATACATTGGCCTCATTTAGCATAATTAGAGCCGCTTCTTTGATTTTTCTTTTTTTACCATCCGTTTCTTTTAGGACTACATTTGAATTATTCCATTGAACCCTATGTTCATTATCTCATGCGTGTTTACAGATTTGAGATCTATCGTGAGGTCAATTGTGTCGCAAATTCCTCGGCAGAATGTAGTAGGATCTGGTTACCAATATTGAAAGAGGAAGTTATTAATAAGAAAATACCAGTATTAGTAAGTCAGTAACATATAGAGGATACATCATTTATGTTTTTTTAAATAACGTAACATATAAAATCAGAATTTTGATGTTTGTTGAAGGTAAACTAAATTCACGAACAAATACTTACAATGTCGGGATAGTATTGTGAGGTTTTTTTCCTGGTTTTTCCCTCATAATATACTATGGAATCACTAACAGGAGAATTTTACTGTCATCATGTCATGTGTTTGTCTTTTTAAAGACGAATTACATGCTATGATTTTTTTCTGACGGATATTCTCAAGTTAAAGTTGATTTCATGTAATCGAATGAACTATCTTATAAGTAAAGTCGTCCCAGGAGCGCAACTCAACAATATTGGCAATATCATTTTAAAGTCGTCTACTTTAAAATGCATAATGTATGTCTGAATTGTCAATATAAATGAGTCAGATAAAATTAAATTATTAGAAGAATTTTTCACTATGTAACAAAAAAAAAATTTGTTTAATTTACTGTTTGTATTTTGAGAACGATTTCCGAAGTGGAAATTGAAACGTCAATAAACGTATTTTTATCTTTAATTGTGGCTTATTCCCAGTTTAATAGTAATTAATTTATAATGCCACAAGAAAATAGCTTTAGAACAATATTAAGATCCTTACTAGTTTATATGAATTCTGTCACTAAATATATTGTTTATTGATGTTCGACAAGCATATGACAAAATAAACAAACATAAATTGATTATTGATACATTAAAATATTTTGAGTTTTCGGATAAAATATCTAAATACTCTCTTTTCTGAATAACTAAATCTTCTCTGAATGAAACCAAAAGTAAAGTTGTGATGGAAGGTCATGTCTCCGACAGTTTTAACATCAGAGGCCTATCCTTTTCATGGACACAAGAACGGAACCAACACAAATTTATATCGAGGAAGCTCCAATAATAGTAAAATCTGAAGTCCAACATGCTATAAACAACTCAAAATCTGGCAGAGTTCCTGGGCCAGATGAAGTTCATATCGAGCTGATTAAACTTATAGACGAAGACAATTTAAGTGCAATAACTATACTCTTTAACAACATATACAAACCTGGTGAGATACCTACAGAATGATTAATCTGGCAACATGTTCCGGCCCAAGCCCATTTAGCCATGGCTATTTTTTCAGCTGCATCTGTGACTTCTGTTCTTCTTCTTATTTCTAGATTTGGTACTTTATCTCTGATGGTAATACCTAATATTGATCTCTCCCCAGCGCGATGTATAACTCTTATTTTATCTATTGTTCTTTTTGTCAGTGTTTCTGCACCATATGTAAGAACCGGTAAAACGCACTGATTAAAAACCTCTCTTTTTAAACAAACTGGGATAATAGACTTGAAAATGTTATTCAGTCTACCAAAGGCAACCCATGCGAAACCTATTCTTCTTTGTATTTCAATTGTCTGATTATCTCGGCCTAAGTGAATCTCATGCCCTAGATATTTGTAAGCTATTACTTGGTCGATGCTATGGCTCTCAATCAGAATTATATCGCTGACTACAAGGTTGGTCATAAATTTTGTCTTTGAGGTGTTAATTTTAAGATCAATTGTTTTTGACACTTTATAGAGCATGTGCAGCATGTTTGTAGCTTTATTAACTCTATCAGATATTAAAACGATGTCATCGGCAAATCTTAGGTGGTTTAGATCTTCCCCATTTATATTAATACCCATATTATCCTCTCGTTAGTACTGCGATATTTGAAAGAGGCACAAAATGTTTCATTTACATATAAAAAGAAACCGTGGGAATTGTTTGTTATTCGGATTCAGATGGGGCATCAAATAAAATTGATAGAAAAAGTATTACAGGTTGTATTGTATTTTATTGTGACAATCCAGTTTCATGGTTGTGCCAGAAACAAAACTGTGTTACTCTTTCAACTGCCGAAGCTGAATACAAAGCTGTAGCTACCTCAGTTCAAGAACTTTCATCTAATTCTAATGTACAGGGTAAATCAAAACTTTTAATTGATAATTTGAGTACAATAGCAATGTGTTAATCTTTTGAAAATTCTAAACGTGCCAAGCACATTGCCATTAAAAAGCATTATATAAAAGATTTCGATGTTGGAAAAGACGTAAAGAAAGAGTGGATTACGAGAAAAACGTGGAACAAAATAGAACGTCGCAAACACATTAATCTAGAATTACTAAATTCCAAGACAGCAGCAGAGAAGAACCGACTTAGAGAAAGTTATAGACAAGCGAATAAAGCTGTCAAGAAGGCAGCAAAGAAAGACAAAAGAAAGTGGGCAGAAAATCTTGCCGAAGAAGCGCGAGTCGCCGATGAACATCAAAACATGAGACAATTATATAATATCACTAAACAACTAGCCAATAAAAGATATACTACCCACCAACCAATTGTAAAAAGTGCTACAGGTGAAGATATTACAACGCCACAGGAACAAGTCAAAAGATGGCATGAATATTTTAGCGAATCTCTAAGTGCAGTCCCAACACCACCAGAAGACGCAGAAAACCTAATACCCAATATCCAACTGAGAATTAACACCAACGAACCAACAACGCAAGAAATAGAAATGGCCATAGAAAAACTGAAAGCACACAAAGCAGCCGGCCCTGACAATATTTCACCAGAGTTGTTAAAAGCTTGCCCAGGTACAGTGGCAGAGCTAATCCAACCACTCTTGAAAAGGGCTTGGAGAGAGGAAAAGTTCCCCAAAGAATGGAAAACGGGATTAATAATAAAGATACCAAAAAAGGGTGACAGAAGATATTGCGAAAACTGGAGAGGAATCACACTTCTGAATACTATAAATAAATTAACAGCAATAATTATAAACAACCGACTAACAAACAGTGTAGAACCAATGTTGAGGAAGGAACAAGCCGGTTTCAGACCAAACAGATCATGCGTGGACCAAATTAACACACTAAGAATAATTGTAGAGCAGTCACAGGTATTCAACTCTCCTCTCTTTGTGTGCTTTGTGGACTTCAAGAGAGCTTTTGACACGCTCACACATACGGCCATATGGAAAGCACTGCAGGAAATAGGAATACCAGAAAAAATAGTAAATCCCATCAAAGAACTCTACAGTGACACAGAAAGCAAAATACTACACAACGGCATAACATCTGACCCAATAGCTATGCTAAACGGAGTAAAGCAGGGCTGTGTTTTATCCCCTATACTATTTAACATTGTACTGGACTCCGTACTAACAAAGGTAAACTCTAATAGAGGAATTTACTGGGAATTAACAAACAGACTGAAAGACCTAGATTACGCTGATGATATATGCCTCCTAGCACATACAAAACAGGACATGCAACTCCAAGTAAACAAAGTACAAGAAAAATCAAAGAAGGTTGGTCTAGAAATAAACACCAACAAAACCAAAGAAATGCGATTTGGTACCAGAAACAACCAACCTATTATGATCAACGACCAGGAAATTGAGAGAGTAGCGGAATTTGTATATCTGGGCAGCATAATTGACTGTAATGGGGGTACAGAGCGTGATGTACATGAAAGAATAAATAAGGCTCGCAACGCCTACAACATGCTTAACAACATATGTAAATCCAGGATTTACCCAACTAAAACGAAACTAAAAATCTTCAACACAAATGTAAAAGCTGTATTACTGTATGGCTGCGAAACGTGGAAGATATCAGCACCCATAGTACACCAATTACAAGTTTTCATCAATAGAGCGTTACGAAAAATCCTTCGTATATTTTGGCTTAACCGAATCTCCAATGAAAATTTATGGAACCAAAGCAACCAAGAAAATGTCATAAAGCAAATAAGGCCAAAAAAATGGAGATGGCTGGGCCACACACTCCGTAGACCGCCAAATGACATTGCCAGGACAGCGCTGGATTGGAATCCCCAAGGCCGACGGAAAGTAGGCAGACCTGAGGAAACTTGGAGAAGGACAGTACTGGACGAAGGGAGAAAAATGGGAAAATCCTGGCTTGAAATCAAAGCACTAGCCAGAAATAGAGTTCGCTGGAGACACTTTGTGGAAGCCCTATGTTCCTCTTAGGAATCTTGGGACTATATATATATATATATATATATATATATATATATATATATATATATATATAAAAGATTTAGTTTCAAAACGATTGATATGTATTGATTATATTTGCTCTGAAAATAATCTTGCAGATATATTGACAAAACCTTTATAAAAAGAAACATAATAAAACACGTAAAAGGAACAGACGAAACGGACATAATAATATATAACAATGCAACAATAAAACCAGTATTTGTGTAAATATAGTTTGATAAAATAATGATCTTACCCGTTGTGGAAAATGTTGATTGTCAAAGAATATGTGGAAGGTAATAAAATCACTAATTAACGCGCTAGTGTTCGAGCACTTTCTCAAATAAGCGATACTTTGCAGAGTAGTGTAAAAGTCGTATCCAGGAGCATATAACGCTACACTAATAGGTCCTTGCCATCTTTCCACAAGCGGTTCAACGTTGTCCAGGAATCTGTAATCCCCCGGAGCACTTAACGTGATAGTTTCATTGCAGGCGAACGTCCTTTTGGCGCGCACAAAGTTTCTGAACACTACGTAACTCCCACGATACTCTATGTCTGGTTTTAACTCCACATTTTCACATTTTAGATCAAACGTCCTTTGTGGTAGTGCTACAGGTTTACTGTGATTAAAGCGAATACGCGTCAACATTAAAATACTAAAAAGAACGAGGAAAACAATCAAATGACGTTTGTACCGAGGTAATATGACATTCTTTATAACAGAAGTCGATCTCATGGTTAAAGTTAGTATTCAAATACTGTGTTATCTGTGGGGGTTTTAAAAGCAGTTGTTAATGTTAGATAATGTACCCACCAAAAACAAAGGTGTTTATTTCTTTGGCGAGTATTAAGGGATTAACTTTGAACTTTACGACAAATTTTACAAGGAGCGAAAATAAATAGATTTTGTTCACATTTGTTTTAATTTAAAACAGTTTATGGCTAAAGTAATGCAAGGATTTTAAAATATTTTATTAAATGAGACAGTGGCGTAGATCTCTTGGAATACTAAACATCTTGTCCGTGAAATATTTTCGGCAACGATAGTTTTATTGTAAAATATAAATGGAGATTAGAGATATAGAGTATAAATATTTGCATATATATATATATATATATATATATATATATATATATAGGGTAGGTGGGGGTAAAAGTCCGCATTTTACATATATGCAATATTTGCCACACTTGTTTGCAGTATACATATTAAATTTGTCGGGCCATTAGGATAACTAATGCCCTTAGCTGTAAATATAAAACGACAGCTAAATATATGTAAGAAAAAAAACTATACCTCAAAGTACAATAGTTTACAAATCGGATTCTTGCCCCTTTAATCGGGGCAAAAGTCCGCATAGCGGATCTTTGCCCCCTTTGAATAAAAATAATTTTATAAAAATAAAAATTAACAATGTATCAAATACAAATCTTTATTTTGTCAACAAACATTATCTAAAAACTTATAAAAATACAAACAAGTAGATATATGACCTAAACGACAAAAAGATAAAAAATAAAAGAAATTTTTGAAAGGTGAAACATTTTTTAGGTTACAACTAGTGCAACATTAAATCACTTAAATCGGTTGAAAAGCTCACAAAGTCCTTAAATCTAGCAGAACTGCCTAGAGGTAACCATCATCTACCATTAGAGTAATTCGCATAACGTACATTCGAAATGAGCCCTTGGTTTTGCCGTAAACTTTTACTATAGCAAACTCTCCTGGACTTAATTCGGATAATTCATTTTCAACATCACTTTCAGAAAAACTTAAATTGCTGCTACTATCATGAAGTGATATTTGCGCGTCCGAGTCAGAAGAATATTCATATTCCTTTTTATTTAGTATATTTTGTTTTTCTTCAAATACTTTTCTTACTATATTTTTATTTTCCTTAATGCTTTCCTTCCTTTTTTCTCGTTTATTTTGTTTTTCTTCTCCAGCTCTGAGATTTCCATTTGCTCTTTATGTGGAGTAGATGTCAGAAGTGTAGATTTCAATCCTTTTCTTCTTCGTTTTCTCTTTTTGGTTAGTTTTGGCAACGGAATGATAGCTGACGGTAACGTAGTAGACATTTCATTTTTCGAGCTTCCAGGTTTTGATTCCAAGTTACTTAAAATGCTAGCTCTATCTGGTAAATTTTCAATATTTCGTTCTTCTGCTTCACTACTTGGTTCTTCTGCTTTATCATTTTCCTGACTTTTGTCTTCGTCAAATACAATCCTTAATTGTGTATCTTTATTATTTCGGTCAAGATCATCTACTTCTTCTTGCTCTTGTTCAGTTATTGAAGAAGGTAAAAAATCTTCCTCAGTAAAGATATTTTCATCTAAAGGGAAAATACCTGTCATTTTAAATTCATTAACAGCTTTTTCTATAGTAGCAGTTTTCTCATAGGCCTGCTTGAATAATCCAGCGACGTGGTATTCAGTGACTACTTGCCCGGGATTAGATGTGGTCCAATTATCACACAAATCATCATAGTAAGCTTTTAATGGCCTAAAAAAGTTTCTGTCCAGTGGTTGAGTTCGATGGCTGCTATGAGGTGGGAGGCTGAGCAAATGGATGTTATTATTTTTTGCGTAAGTGATAGCCTCTAAAGAGGTATGGGATATGTGGTTATCCAAAATTAATAGCACTGGGCTTTCAGCGGTAGGATTTGTATATTTGCGAAAGTGCTCCAAAAATTGAAGAAACTTAACTGAATTCATGTATCCAGAATCAGTTACAGCCAAAACAGAACCAGTTGGAGCGTCCTTTATCAAAAGAGGATTTAGTCTTTTGCGCGCGAAAATAAAGAATGGTGGAACATAGTGCCCTGTTGCACTCATAGAACATGCAGCTGTCACAGTTCTTCCTTGCTCTGCAGCTACATTTTTTGCTACTTCTTTTTTTCCAGTGGGAGCAACATGTTTAGTTAATTTATTTGGTACTGTTTGTAGACCACTCTCATCCATGATGTAGATTTTATTCGCTGGAAATTTATATTTCTCCAAGACAGATTTTAAATTTTGAAAATATTGTGTCAATTGATGTTTGTTGAACCCCATGGTCCTAGCTATACTGGTTTTTCGTGGTGTACGTAGTGAAAGGCGGTTTCGTTTCATAAAATTTCTAGTCCAATCTCTACCTGCTAGTTTTGATTGCTTAGAAAATTGATGCTGGATACCATTTCTTTCTGCAAACTGATATGCCAGAAAACGAAGCGATTTTAGGGTAAGCCCATAGAAACGTAAGTCTAAAGCTTTACAATGGTCCACTATTTGCTGTTCCTGCTCTGGAGTAAATGCAGGTCGAAATCTACCCAAGAAATTAACGCTGCTGTCCGCTTTTAGCCTCTTTCGAATGGTAGATTCATCATAGCTAAGAGTTCTACCTATTTCTCGTGTTGATAGACCTGTTTCCTTTAAATGTTTAGCCTGCATAAAAACATCCTCCGTAAATGGTCTCAGGTTCTCATTTTTTCTCTTGTACGTCCTAAAACAAAAACGTAATTTTTACAAACAAAGAAAAAAAAACGTAATTTATACTAACTTTGAAGTAAAATTCTAGATAATAAACAAAAACGTGCTTAATGAGGCAAAAATCCGCATGCGGATCTTTGCCCCTTCCGGCATGCAGACTAATACCCCAAAATTCACTATTAATCTTAGCTAGACAAGTTTGGAACAACCTAACCTCAAATTAAAGATTTTGTTTCTAAACATTATTTACAATAAACCGGATTACATAAATTAGTTAACAGACTTTTTAGAAAAATAGTTTAACACATACAATCTTCAAAAGAATGATTAAAAAATTAGATTAGAACACCAAAATTTAAAACTTACCTCATATTTTCGTTAACTACCGGCGCACGAAGCACGTGTATAATCTGCAGCGTTGTTCGAAAGGTACTGACCGATCCAAGTGTGAGTCAAGTTAATCTATTCGCTCTGTGATCTAGAAAACGTGTGCGGATTCTTACCCCATGCGGATTGTTACCCCCACCTACCCTATATATATATATATATATATATATATATATATATATATATATATATATATATATATATATATATATATATATATATATATATATATATATATATATATATATATGTGTGTGTGTGATTTCAGTTGTTTTCCGGGTTTGACTCCGCGTTAAGTAATTTTGGTTTTTAGAAAAACCATTGTTTTGACGACGTTTCGGCAAGGTCACACTTGCAGTGTCAAGTCAGATTAGTTCTGCTTCGTCTTGATGTTTCATGAGAACTCGTTCGTCTTGATGTTTTTGAATTTTACAAATAAAGTCTAAAAGAAAATTTGTTTAAAAATTTTTAGTTTTTTTTTTTAATAACTTTTTATTTTAAGTAATAGGAAAACAGTTGTAGGCAATTTAATTTGCTGATTCAAATAATGTATGATAAAATTTTCTGCAGGGTTGCTAGATTACGAGATACAGCACGAAAACCCTTTGAATCACTTATTTCAAGATGGCGAGTATTCAAGAACGCTGTGAATCTCGGAGTGCTAGGAGACCGTAGGACATTGTATTTTTTTCTGTATCAAAGAGTGTCAGGAAAAAGACTGTTTATTTACTAATTGCTCTGATCTATTAACGTTGGGAAATTTAAACGAAAAAGAATAATTCCGAATGCATGTGGCGGAAATTAGAATGCTTAGTAGGATGAGTAGAGCGTATCAAAATGATGACATTAAGGATGAATATATTATGGGAAGTCTAAATATGAGGTCAAATTGAAGACCAAATTGAATTGAAGTTTAAATTATTAGAGGTCAAAATGAGATTGTAGATTACGATACTAGTTGCAATTTTCCGAAATGAGTAGAAAAGAAAGTAAATTAATATTCGTAAGACTTAGGGTCAAAATTAAGCAACTGATACCAGAAAACTAAAACAAAATAACAGAAAAGAAATGTATAAATAACCCAATTCGATTAGCAACAAAGAAAGAGCAAGAAATATACGAGGAAACAATGGAAAGAGAACTAAAAAAGATACAAATAGAAGAGCAAACAGAGAACAAATAGTGAACAAATCAGTCAAAGAATGTAATAAAAAAAAATAAAAAGAGGAAAGACTGGTTAGACGTAGAATGCCAAAAAGAAATAGAACTAAGAAAATCATTAAGGATGAAAATGATCACGAAAGAATAGATATATGGGGCAAAGACAAAAAGTAAAGAGGGTGCTGAGAGAAAAAAAGAGAAAACACATAGAAAATAAGCTAAAAGATATAGAAGTGAATTATAGAAATAAAGAAATAAAAAACCTATATTAAGGTGCTAGAAATGAAAAAGAGGTTTCCAACAAAAACCCATATTCGTTAAAAACAAAGCAGCAAATAATATAAGCGGTGAAGCAGAAATAGTCGAAAGATGAAAACAGTATTTTGATGAATTACTAAATGGCAATAATAAGTCAAATCAAAGAGAATGTATGGAAGCAGAAGCAAGAATCGAACACTTAGAAGACATAGAAGATAGTTCACCCAGCAAAGAACAAATCGAGGAAATCATAAAAAATCTGAAAAATAATAAATGTTCTGGAAGCGATAACATAACTGCAGAGATGATGAAATATGGTAGAAAACTGCTAAATGATTGGATATACAAGATCATAAAGGAGATATGGATAAAAGAACGAATACCAGAAGATTGGAAGGAAGCAATTATTTGCCTATTACACAAAAAAGGAGACAAAACAGAATGTAGTAATTACAGAGCAGTAGCGTTACTAAATACCGTATATAAAATCCTATTAAAAT